CAAAGACCGGCACATGGCAGCACACAAGTGAGGACCAGTCGGGAAGGTCTGGTGCAGGGCCGAAGCGGAGACGGTAGAGGTCGTCGAGGCGGCGGTAGCAGCGGGTCGCGGTGTGACCGGTATGGCCATTCATTGTGCCACGAAGGGGGCCAGACTGGAGCGGGTACTGGCAACTCATAGAGCTGAAGCTGCCACCTGATGCCAAGCTGCGAGGGCCACCACCGGGGCCACCACTACCAAAGCCACTGGGCCACCCCTCCAGGAGGTGACCCTGCTGCTGATGCTGTTGCTACTGCTGCTGCTGCTTCTGCGACTACTGTTGCTGTTGTTGCTGGTTCTCGAGGGGATCAGCCCTGGGGCGCAGCGGTGACGTGCAGGGCCGGCGGTAACTGGGGCCGGCGCAAATCAGGGCCGGCTCGAACTGGGGCAGGCGAGCTGGGGCCGTCGAGCGGGGGCCGGCGAGCTAGGACCGGCGAGCTAGGGCCGGCGAGCGAGGGCCGGCGAGCAATGGCTGGCGAGCTAGGGCCGTTGAGCGAGCTAGGGCCGGCGAGCTGGGGCCAGCGCGCGGCGAGCAAAGGGCCAGCGGCGAGCTAGGAGCCAGCCGCGAGCGTGGGGCCAGCGGGCGAGCTTGGGGCCAATGGTGAGGGCTAGCGCGGTGTGCACAAGGGCCAGTGGCAAGCGCGGGGCCAGTGGGTGAGCGTGGGGCCAGCGGCGAGCGCTCGCGCGGTGCTCGCAAGGGCCAGCGGCTAGCGTGGGGCCAACGGGCGAGCATGGGGGTCAGCGGCTAGCGTGGGCCAGTGGGTGAGCGTAGGCTAGCGGGTGAGCATGGGGGCCAGCGTGCGAGCGTGGGCCAGCGGCTAGCGTGGGGCCAGCGGGCAAGCGTGGGGGCCAGCGGCGAGCATGGGCCAGCGAGCAAGCGTGGGGGCCAGCGGCGAGCGTGGGCCAGCGGGCGAGTGTGGGGGCCAGCGGCAAGCATGGGCCAGCGGCCAGCGTGGGGCCAGCGGGTGAGGGCTCGCACGGCGCATGAAAGGGCGGGTGCTAGGGACTAGGGTGGGCGCTAGGAACGAGGGCAGGCGCTAGGGACTAGGGCGATCTAGGGCGGAAGCGCGGGTGAGGGACCTAACCTAGCGTGATACCATCTCATAATAACGCATTGACTAGAATGAGGCATACAGGCATTTTTTGTGCAATGGTGCTGTACTCTCTATAAGCATGCACCTGTCTAGCCTCTAACAATATATAAATATGTTGACACAACCTAGTCAATAATTTATGTCCTTGGAGTATTTTATGTATTTGTTTCTGGCTACGTACTCCTTAATACTTTATGTCCTTTCCTCCTTTATGTTCCGGTCAATAATTGCAAGGGTACTGACGACAATGCCCTAGCATGAAAACGTTTTTACTTCTAGACGGGAAGAGACGTAAGAATTATTTTCTAATAACATTCGTCCCTTTTAGGGAAATTCTCATCAGTTGCCCGTTTGGCCAACTGAAAGTATAAAAAAAATCGACGGCATCGATCGATTGCTATCGTTTCGACATGTTTTGACCGTTCGATGGTCGCTATGATTGACGTCCAAGATCTCCCAACCAGGGCGCTGCAAGTGCGCGAATTTTCTCCCACCGCCCTATTCGCCATCTTCCCCATCCCCCTCCATTTTCAATCCCCCCCTCCCCCTCCGTTTCGCTTCCCCCCTTCCATCCATTTCAATCTCCCCATTTCCCCTCCATTTTGCTTCCCCTCTCCCCTTAGAGAAGGTTTGTCTACGTGCCCATCTCACCCTCATATCGCTCGTCATGAGTCACAGGCAGCCCCCCTAGGGCGCTGCAAGGGCGCGAAGTTTCTCCCACCGCCCTATTCGCCAGCTTCCCCATCTCCCTCCATTTTCGATCCCCCCCTCCCCCTCTGTTTTGCTTCCCCCCTTCCATCCGTTTCGATCTCCCCCTTTTCCCTCCATTTTGCTTCCCCCCTCCCCTTAGAGAAGGTTTGTCTACGTGCCCAGCTCACCCTCATATCGCTCGTCGTGAGTCACAGGCAGCCCCCCTACACATGCTGCCCAAGGCGACCAGGACAGCAACCAAGACCCGTCCTTTCTGAATAGCTGGATTCATAAATTTCAGCTGGGCTTGGGTTGCACAGGTTGGGAAGACATATCTTAGCTGTCGTGGGGGGTATTTGGGTGGGGGTGATATAACTGTTATATATATGTTTAGGGTTTTGCCAAAATTTTGGGTTGTTTGGGGTCGAGGTGTTCGGGAGACTGTGTCTGATAACCCCACCTAGCCAAAATTTTCGATGTGTTATAGGGTGTGTGGGGTATGTCTCTAGCATTCGGGGACTTGGCCAAAAATTTTGATGGGTTGTGGGGTGTGTGGGGGATGTCTCTAGCATTTTGGGAACCCTAAATCGTACTCTGAAGTGATCAGAATTGGGAAAATGGGCAATCTTGAAATTCAGGTTTGGCCAAAAAAAGGGTCTAAAATTTCAGACTAAACAGACTAAATCGTCTGATAAAATCAGCCCTGATTCGATGCATGCAAATGATCATCCTTCATACCGCATGCATCATGATGTTGGGGGGTGCTTCTTACCGTTCTTCCGCCGTACATCATCGACGAGGAATGATGTGAGGTTCTCATAACATTCTCAAAACGAATTCTGTTTCATAGTGGGAATGTTGTCATTGCTCTTATCATTATATCGTTGTTTGATCGACGATGAATACTAGGAGACTTTAACAACACTCCCAAACCGATGTAGTTGCAGCGTGGTAGTTATGCAAAGTTGTGACTTCCATAATTTACATTAAACAACAAAGACAACCAACAAAAAATGTAACACGACCCTGCCCTAGCCTCTCCCTCCGCATGCACAGGCACGATACTTGCTGGTGATTTCAACGCAGTCGATCTGGCATGCAACAGAAATCGACCCCTCATGGTCACAAAAAGACCGAGCTCGGCATACTTCAATCGCTCATGCACTCTCACGATCTCCTAGATGCCTTTTGTGCTCACCACCCCGACAATACCCTCTTTTCATACTTCGGTCATCCCAGTCTCATACGTCCTCTTACGCTAGTCCCCGCATCTGGTATTGACCGCATTTACGTCACCTCCCTATTCCTGGCTCAAATGTGCACTGCCGCGTATGTGCTCATCCTGTCTACCGACTCCGACCACGCTCTCGCCCTTCTTGCGTGCTTATCTTCCTCAATCGCACCATGGCCCCGAGACCTTGGCGTCTTAGCACATCCCTCCTCATACGCCCCTTAGACCATGAATGCATGCCGAACCCTACATACCTGGAAGCTCAAACTCAGCAACCAACTTAAGCAATTCTCCATCCAAGAGCGGCGGCGCGTCGCAAAAACCACGACATGATTACAAAACCATATCTGCCACCTCCAACTCCTCCAAGCATCCCCCCGGGCCAACCTCCAACAAGCTGCCCTCATCGCAAAACTCACCCAACAGTTTGAAACCTACGAAGCATCACGTGCAGCCGAGCTCGCACTTAAGGCCAAAATCAAGGTGGAAGGTCATCACGAGATGGGAATCTCGTCCCTCCTTGTAGGTGTCAACACCCGGTGTAAAGCTGCGCACATACCCGCACTCCGGGTCGCTTCTAGAGCCACGACCTCCAATCTGGCCGACATGGCCGGCCTCTGCACCACTTTCTTCCAAGCCCTTTACAGCGGAGCCACCTCCATCAGCCGTGACAACACCTTCTGGCAGCATGTCCCCCCGTCTCAACTCTGCCCTCGCAACCTAGAACAAATTTCAGCCCCCTTCTCATTGCTCGAAGTCAACAGAGGCATCGCCTCCCTTGCTGGTGGAAAGACCCCGGGGCCTGACGGCATCCTGGCCGATTTCTACAAACGCTTCCGAATAACCTTCACTCCCACCTTCCTCAAGCTCTTCTCGGCAACAACACATTCCAACGCACTGCCACCTTCCATGCTATGTGGGCGCACCGTCCTCATTCCCAAGAAAGGTGACTCAACATTACTCGACAATCTGCGGCCCATCACCCTAATGAACGCGGACTACAAGATCCTAGCCATCTGTCTTGCTGATAGGCTCCAAGCAGTCCTCCCAACAATCATCCACTCCTCCCAAACTGCATTTATTGAAGGCCGCAAGATCCCTGATACAAGCAATGACATGCTTGATATAATGGACTAGGCCACCACCCGACACCTCCCTCTTCTTGCCCTCAACGTAGACATGCAAAAGGCCTATGATCTGATCGACCGACCCTTCCTCCTAGCGGGTCTCGTCCACTTAGGAATCCCACCCCCCTTATAAACCGGGTCCGTATAATGTACTCCAACACCACCACCCGCATATCGGTCAACAACTACGCCGACCCCACATTCCCGGTCCATATAGGTGTGCGGCAAGGCTGCCCGTTGGCACCTCTCCTCTTCATCTGTGCTATAGAAATATTCCAAAGGCATATGTCCCTCCACCTTCCCGGCTTTGCCATCTCCCGCCAGCAATGCACGTTCATGGCCTGCGACGCAGATGATGTGACAATCTTTTTCAACCCCAACCATGAGCTCCAAACCACCTCAACCGTGCTGCTCTCATACGCAGCGATGTCTGAAGAATATCCTAACTGGACCAAATGCTCCGTCATTCCATACAACTTCCCGTCCGCTCAAATAACAGGGGCGGGTCTAATCCCCATCAAGCCCGACAACGTTGCTGAGCGCATCCGCGATATTTACATTAAACCGGAGGCACACGAAAACATGACATGGGATAAAACCATGGCACGAATCAATACCTCCGCCCGATACCTCGCCCGTCTTAGATGGACCACCACCTGTCGCAAACACATGGAGTCGGAATATCTGAACTCGGTCATTTCCTTCCCGGGCCGCTTCCAGCCTCCCCCTCTTTCAATCACCTCCCAGCTTAACACAGTCGTTGGCAATTTCCTTTCCTCCTCGAGGTTTAAAGACCACGGTCTAGCCACAAGGCTCGTGCCCAACCGTCTGCTCTACAACTCTACCTGGCACGGCGGCAACGGGGCAATCCAACCCGCTGCACAGATTACCGCCCTAAACGAGCAGCGAGCACTCCGTCGCTTTGTACCCACACCAGCAGCGTCCGTAGCTAGGGAGTGCTCCCCGTTGCCCTACAGCCTACACAGCTTCCTCCTACACAAAGAAGTTCTCTCCGCCCTACCTGCTGACACCCCGCCCTGAGCACGCGCAGAGCTCCACGACCATTTGGCCCTGGACCTCATCATCCTCCCCCCTTGTCTCGAAACCAGCTGTCTGCTTGCAGAACCCCTCGCCTTCAACCGTCACATCCTCAAACGAAAATCGAGCGCTTTCTGATTACCATCGAAATCCGGCTTGGCCACGTACTCCGACCCCTCGGCACAGGATTCCTTAGGCCCTCCAACCCCGAGATCCTCCAAGCCTTTCCCACCTCCACTTACCCTGGTGCACGACGAATCGTCCGCGAATTGCTAAATGCCGAACCGGACGAATAGTGGAATACACTGGCCCCTGTGGCAGCTGCATCGACTCTTATTCAACCCGGGGACTGGGTCATTCCCACCGCTCCACCTGCCACAACCCCCTCCCTTATTTATCAAGTCACTGAAATCCGCCTACATTTCTCCATCGTCGCCCGCCCCCACTCCATCAATGCATACCTCCGTATCGACAGAGAGGCAGGTAACTCCTGCATCCTCCCCCTCTTCGCCGTCACTACCGTCAGTGTAAGGGGCTGCTGGCTGGCTCGTCCTTTCTACACAGGAGCAAGCCTGGGGGCACGGCTAGAGATACCGCAGGACGGGGAACCGACACTCGCCGACTTACATAGCCGCCTCTATGTGCAACAACCACTCACACACCGTGACCGTTGGAACGCCGCCCTCCCTGCCTACCTGCCTACCTGCCTCTTCTCCTCCCTGACCTCATACATGAATTCTTCAAAGAGCAAACCAGCCTCCACCGTGACCTCCTCTTCAGATTTTACACCCGCTCACTCCCATCAGGTGCCCGTTTCAATTTTGCCGCAGACAGAGGCATCTGTACACGCTGCTCTGCCGGCGTTACGGAGTCCCTCACACACATTTTATTCGAGTGCGGTGCTGCAAGACCAATTACCGCAGCTCTCCAGCGCATTGCTTCTCGCCACCTCGGAGTCCGCATCTCCACTAAACAATCCCTTTTCCCCCTCCACACCAGGGCCGGGCAATCAGCCCCATGGAGCCTGCTAGTGGGAGCAGCCGCCAAGACCATCTGGAACGCCCGTGCAATCACAAGTTTAACGGGATCACGACCCGCATGCTCGAAGGTCTCCACGCTGTCCTCGCAGCCTTCCAGCTCTACTGCAAAATATTCATCCGGCGGTCTACCACACAGTCCAGGAAAAAACAGCTCCGATCTGCCCACCGAATAAAGCGCGCCAAACAACTTCGCTTCCTCCTCCTACCGAGCGAGTTCTCCCCTTCCATCCATCATGATCTTCGTAAATGTTGGCTCCTCAACGAAGCCTTCCGCCCGCCCTAGTTCTCCCTCCCCTTGCGCCTGCCCTACAGACAAGTTAATGCAGAACGGATGGCATTCTCCCGCCTCTACTATACCTTGGTTTAGAAGGATAACGTGTGTCCATGTGCTCCCTATAGGGTGCTGGCTTATTGCCATTTCCTTTTCTGCTTTGTTTTGTAACATTTACAATTGAAATATAACCTTAACCTTCAACCCCATCCAATAGCAAGGCTCGATGCATATCATCGGATGGGTTGCATAGTTGGTAGATACAATAAAAGAAGAATGCGCTAAGCAGAATGACGATCAAGTACATAAAATGTATAAGAAGTCAATACGTTTTGAATACGTGCATATTAAAGAGTGTTAATGTTGCGCATTATTAGCTACAGCTTATGCCAGTATGAGTATGTGCATATTAAGAATTGTGTAAAAGTGCAGCATGCGTTTGCAATCATTGTTTTACATGTATATATTTATATTAGCCTATCGAAATATATGAATTCTTTACATCACACTCAAAGACTGATAATTGATTACAGACAATGATAGGAAACGGAAGATATGCATATAAGATGAGCATAAGAATTGTCATAAATAAGATACAGTATAATACAACCAACAACGTGTGCTTACAAGACGATGGTTGACATGTTGGGAGTATGGGGGATTTTTCTCTCATATTTATTATAGCCTCGTATAATATTTTCGCCATCTCCAACTTGCTTCCTAGTTTCAGTTTAGGCTCACTTTTGCTGTTTTAAACTACACGGAACCTAGGTCAGGGTTGGGTTTTTTCTCAACATTGTTCTGAACTTGCGTAGCCAATCTTTCTCAATACTTACTAGGCAATCTTCCCCTCACCTACCTACCTAGCCCAGGCTCCGAGTTTAGCATGGAATTTAGAGCCTAATCCTAAGCAATGTTAAAAACGTTTGCCATGGGCTCCCCCCATTGAGCACTTCCAGATGATTTCCTCTTTCTCTACTTACGTCACTTCTCTATTTACTATGCTTAAACTCGTGTCTCCTAGCCTACTTTCCCCCTCGCACATTTCTCTTTTTTTGTTTTTGTTTTTTGTTTTTTTTTTGTTTTTTTCACCTCCCACTCGCCCATCGCCCTAGTCCGTTTGCTGCGTGCACCGCCCCCCTGCCGTGTGCCTCTTCACCTTTGGCTCCTCGTTGTCGCTCGCCATCCAGCCGTCCGTCGCGCACGCCGGTGCCGACTGTCGTCCGCGCCTCCCCCGCCCCTTGCGTGCACTGCGCCTCCTCCCCCTCTGCCCTCGTCTCCCTTCCTCCTCCTCCCTCGCCGTTGCGCATCCTCGTCGTCCTCCCGCCACGCGCCGCTCTCCGCGCCACCCGCGCGCCTCTTGCGCGCTATCTCCGCGCCACCTCAGCACCACCCGCACCTCACCTCCCTACTCCTCCTTTCTCTCCTTCCCTTCACAACTCTTCGCTCGCCTTCTCCGGTTACATAGCACGTGAGATTTCTTGTGTAGTTACATAGCATGGTTCCTTTATTGCTTGGGTTTTTCTGGTACTTACCTTCCGTGGTTTCTTATTCTTCCTTTTCCCTCTAGTCTATATTTCTTTAGTACACCCTCTCTCTTTCCATTTCCTCTGCCTTTTACTTCTCTCTTCTATACCTTACACTACACTTTTTTTTACTTCGCTATCTTATGTGCGCTTCGGTTTTCCCTTGTAACCCCCATTTTCTTTTCCGGCTTTTCATTCTCTGTCACCAACTTATCTCGGTTGGGGTTGTAATTCTCGGTTAACAAATTCACCAAGTCACTTGGCTGTAAGCACAATCGCTACAAACGTACAGCCTGAACACATACTTGTCGGGAGTTCATCTCCAGGTTCCATTCCCCTTTTTTACTTACCTCTGATCACTGCCCACTTTTTTTTGCTCCTCTAACCCTTCTTCGCTCCCCTCTTCAGTATTTCTCTACTTTCATCGCTTCTATCTCTTTCCCCTCTTTGTTCGTCCCTTTCCACCCTACCATTCCCTTTCCCTGCACGCCACCATTCCATTCTCCCTTCTATGTCCATTCGCCACCATTTCATCCGCTGTCGCTTGCTTTTGCTTGCCTTTTCCTTGGCTGTTGCTTGCTTTCGCTTGCCTTTCCCTTGGCTGTTGCTTGCTTTCGCTTGCCTTTCCCTTGGCTGTTGCTTGCTTTCGCTTGCCTTTCCCTTGGCTGTTGCTTGATTTCGCTTGCCTTTCCCTTGGCTGTTGCTTGCTTTCGCTTGCCTTTCCCTTGGCTGTTGCTTGCTTTCGCTTGCCTTTCCCTTGGCTGTTGCTTGCTTTCGCTTGCCTTTCCATTGGCTGTTGCTTGCTTTCGCTTGCATTCTCCCTGTTCTCACTCCCCCTGTTCCCACTCCCTCAGTTCTTACTCCCCCTGTTCTTCCTCCCTCTGTTCTTCCTCCCTCTGTTCTTCCTCCCTTTGTTCTTCCTCCCTCTGTACTTCCTCCCTTTGTTCTTCCTCCCTCTGTTCTTCCTCCCTTTGTTCTTCCTCCCTCTGTTCTTACTCCCTCTGTTCTTACTCCCTTAGTTCTCCCTCCCTCTGTTCTTCCTCCCTACGCTCTTCCTCCCTCTGTTCTTTCTCCCTCTGTTCTTCCTCCCTCTGTTCTTCCACCCTCTGTTCTTACTCCCTCTGTTCTTACTCCCTCTGTTCTTACTCCCTCTGTTCTTACTCCCTCTGTTCTTTCTCCCTCTGTTCTTCCTCCCCCTGTTCTTACTCCCCCTGTTCTTCCTCCCTCTGTTCTTCCTCCCTTTGTTCTTACTCCCTCTGTTCTTCCTCCCTCTGTTCTTCCTCCCCCTGTTCTTACTCCCCCTGTTCTTACTCCCTCTGTTCTTACTCCCTCGGTTCTTCCTCCCTCTGTTCTTCCTCCCTCTGTTCTTCCTCCCTTTGTTCTTCCTCCCTCTGTTCCTACTCCCTCTGTTCTTACTCCCTTAGTTCTCCCTCCCTCTGTTCTTCCTCCCTCCGATCTTCCTCCCTCTGTTCTTTCTCCCTCTGTTCTTCCTCCCTCTGTTCTTCCTCCCTCTGTTCTTACTCCCTCTGTTCTTCCTCCCTCCACTCTTTCTCCCTCTGTTCTTCCCCCCTCTGTTCTTCCTCCCTCTGTTCTTACTCCCTCTGTTCTTACTTCCTCTGTTCTTTCTCCCTCTGTTCTTCCTCCCTAAGTATGTTCCTCCTCCCTCTGTTCTTACTTCCTCTGTTCTTCCTCCCTCTGTTCTTCCTCCCTCTGTTCTTCCTCCTTCTGTTCTTACTCCCTCTGTTCTTACTCCCTCTGTTCTTACTCCCTCTGTTCTTCCTCCTTCCGTTCTTCCTCCCTCCAATGTCAACTCATGCTTCCCTTTCTGTTCTTCCCCCCTTGGTGCAGACCATGACTGATGAAATCTGCTTTCTGCTCTTCAAAATATATAGGGGTGTGTGGAGGATGGGGTGAAAAGGAACAGGGAAAAGGGGGGCTAGGGGGGAGAGTGGGGGGAGGGAGGGAGGAGTTGGATGGTGTGGAACAGGGGGTTTGAGAGGTGTGCTGGTTGATAAGTAGTTCTACATGTCTAGCTTTTGGTTGTGCCTGTTCTTAATCTCCTTGTGCATAATGAGTGGCTGCATATTTAATAATGCAAAGGGAAGGGAATGGAAGGGAGAGAGTGAGGGGGGGAGGGAAGGGAATTAAACGGGGATGTGCAAAATGGGTGAAAGCGTTAGGGGGTTCAGATACATGGAGAGGTATAGAGTATTTGCTTTTTCTTCTAAACTTGTGCCGTCACTGGTGTTTGCTCTTGGGCGGTGTTTTTGTGTTCATTTGCACACGCTGTTCTATTTATCATCTCCACTTGCTCGTCAGCGTACGTGTCAGTCTGTCACTATCGTTATTGCATGGCATTTGAGTCTTGTTTGTCTGTATCATTCAATGTCCATTTCGTTGCATGCATGTATGTGTTCTTGTCATTTCTTTATGTGACGTGGTGTAATTCGTTGTGTGTTTTGTATCAGTGTTCGTGCATTGTAACACTAAGCACGTCTTAGTGTGGTACATATATGCTACATGCATAACAATGCAGAGATTGCTTGATGGGTTGGAGAAAGTATCCACTTTTCATGACATTCTCGATTCAATGCAGGGATGCATCCGTGTATTACTTCCAATATGTGCCATGTTGTTTTGGTGTCTTGGTCGTATCGAGTACTGTTCTGTGCATGTTTTTGTGGATGATGATGAGAATTGCAAGTGTTGTTCACGGTTCCGCCATATTCATCGATGATGAACAGTGTGCAACATTGGTGGTTCTAAGTTCATCCGCGATTGTCTTGTGTGCAAGCGTGTAAATTGATGTTTCTTTTGTTGTTGTTTTGGTGTTTTGGTCGTATCGAGTACTGTTCTGTGATTGTTTTTGTGGATGATGAGAACTAACAGTCATGCTCACTGTTCCGCCGTATTCAACGACGATGAATGGTAATCAACGTTGGTGTTTCTTGTCATACACAGTTATCTCGTACGTAATTTTACAAGTCTTTATGTGGAATTCTTGTGCTCGTGTGCTGTTTTTGTACGCGTGGCTTTATGCTGGTGTAGGTGATCGTGAATGTGTTTGTCTACAAAAAAACCAAGTGAAGGGACAAACATAATAGCAAAAAAAAAAAAACACATTTGCGGAAACAATTACAGGTTAATCAGAACATTTAACACAAAAGAACACATTGGTTACATGGACCAGCTAAAATTGTTTTTGCCCACAAAATATTGCTCAGACTAAATTATTTATAGATACCCCCTAAAATGTTAGTAGTTGCTAACAGTGCATTGAGGCCCCCAAATGTCAGAACGTTTGTAAGGGGTTGCAACGCAACCCAAAAACCTTTCATTTCGTTGTGCAGTAGCATCTGACCAAGGGCTAGCACCGTGAAGTTTCTAGTGAATGGTGAGGGTCGTCTTGTGATTGTGAGAGGAAACTGTTGCGATACGACGGCTTCCGGATTTCTTGCTTGCGATGCGATGAATTGGCCGCGAAATCTGACGGAGCTCCGGCTCTCAAGCATTCTCGGCCTTTGTGATTGGCTTGTCATTGTAGTACCAGAAGATCTTGCGCCGCAAAGGAGAGGCCATCAATCAGCGTAGCATTCCACTTGCAAATCGAGGTTGATATTGATGCTCGGGAGGATTTGTTTTTAAAAAGAAACTTCCCGACTCACTAAAAAAATCGGCCTTCCGACTTACAATGGTCCTGAGCTGCCTGCTCACCTCTGGCACAACTTTTGTCCTCGGCTGTTACCCATTCGGAATTGGCAAGGATGAAGACCGTCGAAACAATGAGGACAATCCCAGCAAGTGAAAGGCCACCTCGGATTTCAAGGAGGCATTTTTTCCATGAGTGATGTCTGTGGAGCCAGGTTCGGGAATTCTCCTAAGGACCGATTGTATGGCTCGCATGAAACGTTACGTAGCCGCTCCATGGCACCGGAAAAACACCATAAAAATGGAACCAGCTGGCCTCAACCGAGCTCCAGAATCCTTCTTGCTTGGGGAAGGCGACGAAATTTGGGGATGATGGTTCCACCAGGGTATGGGCCAAACAATCCCCTAATGCGGGTAAGATCTCTTGTCGACCGAAGGTCGCTGATGTTTGGTTACATGAAGTTTGGTGCTTGCACACCACAGAATTATGCTTGGTTGGAGCGGTTGCTGGCGGCAGGGGAAGGTGCCTGGTTCTTGGGGACAGAGACATGCCCCCTTGGTTTCAGTCCCCACATCCGCTAGGTTGGAACAATGGGTCGGAACCATGAATGATAGAAATTGGTTGAAACAGTGTGTTTGGATGGCATGTTGTTCTCGCAAACCGACTCCCGGTAACAGTGAGCCTTCCAAGCGATTGCTGGGCTAAGTGATCAGGCTAAAGTTAGAAAGTCCTGCGTCGTGATGTGAATCTGGTGAAGGGAAGGTTCGGGTGTAGGGAAGGGGTGTTACAACACCGTGCCTTGCTCTATACATTTCGAGCTTCTGTGGTGTCGTTTCTAGCCCTGACATACAAATATATGACAGTTGAAACGCGCATGCAAGTATATGATGCGCACTTAAAGTCAGTCCCGAACGGGTATGTACCCCTATTGCATTAGCCCTACCACTGCGGCTCTCGACCCCTGCCTGGTTCAGTTGTCTACTGTACCTGGTCTTTCGGCGGTTTTCGATGAATTTGATTTCTCCGGTACAGTTGTACAGAGTGGGCGACACCAACCAAACCCAGAATCGCAAAACCACGCAAGTGCTCCTTCCATTTGTTCCGCTCCACGACTCTGCGACCGCATGTGTAGTCGCTGGATGGTCGCAGAGGGTGGCCGGCATGACACACAGATGGGACGACAAATCCATGAAACGCGGTGATATGGATGAGGGCGAACCGGGCTAATTTTTCGGTTTTCAAGTCTCAGCGGTCTCAGGATTCGCGTCACGAAATATCCTGAAAATTCAGCATTCCCTGGGAAATCTGTCTTTATTTCAGGATGAATTTGAAGTTTCAATCTGAAATTCAGAGTGCTTTTTGGGACTCCCTACATATCAGTGGAACCTGTGGGCAATTGGAATACAAGCAGGAAGGACATCGATGGAAGAAACGGAGAAGAATACAGAACAAACACTTGCTGCTACTGCTGTCCCTAATCACCACACCAAGTTCGACACTTTCCTTGTCAATCGCGACAGAAATCCATACAAATTAGAGGGACAGTGCGCAACCTGGCTAAGGTGGTATTAAGGGGTTGTGATAAGTCTGACAGCCTGCACTATCTAGTTGTGAAAGTTCCACTGGTCGCGCCTTCAGATTGCGTGAAAAATTGGTCAGGGTTGCGAAGGAATGAGGGGTGTGGGGGGGGGGGAGGGAAAGGTTGCAATTCCAGCACGGGTGATTTTCCATGCCAGTCGGATGGCCAGCATAAATATTCGCGCAATCTGTATTCCTCAGAGAGTTCCTTGGAAACGCCCGGAATTAGTCAGGAGGTTTGGGAATACAAAACCCTTAAAATCATGATTTCAGTGGGAAAGACCCGGAATGTACCTGAAATTCCGGATGTTCACCCTTGAACCGAGAGCCCTGGCGAACCAGACATGGCAAGGAGAATGCCGCTGATCCGGTTGGTTGGGCAGGGCATACCAAACTGCCTGGTTTGGCAGCAGTGGCATGCATCCCCAAGGGTCGCTTCGTTGCGTTGCGCTATGCATGAAATCAGCAAGGCTCAGCCAATCGTGACAGCTCAAAACTGGCTGGGTGCAGAAATGTGGTAGGGTGCGACTGGATGCCATGGCATGAATGGTAAACCGAGCTTTGTGATTGGACGAGGAGGTTGAAGGGGAATGGTCATGGCGGAGGCACAGGCAGATGCGGTCAACCCCAATGGAATATGGGGAGGTTCCCGAAGAAGCAGATGGTGGTGGATGGATAGCAGCCAGAATTTCGGAAGGGCATGCATGCGGGATATCTGCGACGGTGGGATGGCAGCGAATTCCGCATGAATTCATCACCTTGAAACTATCTAGCCATCGCTGCCTGGCAACCAGGCAATTCATCTCATATTTCATATTTCCAGCAAGCCCTCCACCTTCATCAGTAAGCTTTCTCTGGTCGAACAGTATGACAATGAGATAGGCATCTGTTATCTCCATCTGGTTCTGTTTAGGGCTTTCTTCGTCGCGCTCGCTCGTAGGGCCGAATCTGACCTGCACATGCATTGATGGGATCCGTGGAGGTCCTCGTAGCAACGGCCTGTCGACTGCGCCGAGTGGAGTCGATGTCTATGCGTCGACGAAGAGACTATGCTTCGAGAATTGAGGCTGACCCTTTGGACTTAGCAGCAACCTCCCTCATTCATGGATCATCGCAAGCGATCGGCGTCAAACGGGACGCTAGGGGGAACGCCGCCTCCACTCATGAGGAAGTGTCATCTGGTCGTTTCCCTGAACAGGAGGCTTTTTGCCCCTCTCAGGAGTCCGTGTCGCTCTCTGAGATAGGAGCTGATGGTATGCATTCAACGGCATCTCCATCCATGGCCGAATTCAGGTCTGATCGTTCCAGATGCCATGTTTCAAGAAGAAGGACGCAGACTGCTTCTGGAATCGTTGAACGGGACGCTATGAAGCCTGATTCGTCGTTCTCGATTGAGAAGACGGATATCACTCCGGTTGAGGGAGGATCGAGCCGCATGCTTCCTGGTGTCACGTGCGAAGAGCAGCTAGACGAAGATGACGATGATTTGACCACTATCGTTCATCCATCTCCGAAGCGACAACGATCGGCAGAGTCGATTGGTTATAAAGAAACTGTTGTGACCTCTCCTGGCCAGTCTAATGACAGAAATAGCACTCCTGGAGTCCGTGATTCGAAAGATTCTGCTGTTGTGGTCAAGGTGAGACTCTTCTAATCCGTCATTGTGATTGGTCCCTGTCCCTGCGTGCTTAAAAGCTGACTACGAGCCCGCTTCCCCACTTTGCAGGCGACAGCCGTGTACGATACTGAAATCTGGAATAATCTCCTTCTCAAGGAACAGCAAGTTCAGTCTCCATGGGGATACATAGGTTCGTCTCAGAAAAATCTGTTACCTGATCACAGACGCATTATGGTCAACTGGCTCGTCGAGGTAAGAATGTCGTGTGCTAACTTCTTGATTTTGAAGTCCTTTTTAAGAGATCGGGTCTGACGTCATTTTCTCATTGATCTACAGTTCGCGGAGGAGTTTGAGCTTCAATGCGAGACCTTGTCCCTTGGAGTGAACATTCTGGACCGGGTTCTTGCTGACGGCCCTCCAGTTCAAACTGGCGATCTTCAATTGTTGGGGACGGCCTGTATGCTGGTTGCAGTTAAATTCCAGGAGTCTCAGCCTCCCAAGTGAGTGGTGCGATCATATCCTACTTTTCGTACAACCGTTCTTCGTAAATGTCCGCTAATTTGCCTTACTGACTACTTTTGTGTTATTGCAGCATGGTTCAATGCTGCTGTCAGGCAGCCGAGGGAAGCTTCACTCAAGAACAGGTGCTTCAGAAAGAGTTTGATGTGCTGAAGACCATCAAGTTCGACTGTGCCATTCCAACCGTACATACCTTCTTATGGTAAGGAATGTTTCTGCTGTCTTAGTTCCGTCTCTGGTTTTTGTCCTTCGGATAATATTAATCAACTTGTGGGTGATTTATTTGTCTTGCGTTTCCAGGCATCATCTTAAGGCGGTTGATGCAGATGCCAAGCTGGAACAGATGGCTGATTACATTGCGTGCTCTTCACTGTTGGAATATGATCTTCTCAAGTATCACCCATCTGCCATCTCAGCAGCTACTGTTAAGCTCGCTGCGTCTCTCCTGGAAGGCACATCATGGACTTCCAGCATGGAGGTGTGTATACGTTCGTCTTCACATTGTTGGCCAGATCAGGCAAAGATACTAGACTAACAATGCTCTTGCCTGATTGTGAGCAGTTATTGGCAGGATACAGTGCATCAGGTGTTAAAGACATCATCAAAATTCTCCAGCAGGAACTCTTAGCACCACCCAAACCCTCACTGACTGCATTGAAGACTAAATTTGAGCGAGAGCAGCATTTCGACGTGGCGTCCTTGCTTCATGATTGCATTGGGAGTATCTGCCCTACACGCCTGCCTAACGGCAGTGGCACAGTCTAGTATGGTAGTCTCATGAGAAACGAATAAGGTGCTGTGATGGGTTTCCTGTGGTTTGAAGCACCATCCTGTCCTGTGATGCTGCTCCAATGTGATATCACATACCGTATATTAAAGCGCGTGGCGCATAAACGAGCATAACTGTTTGAATCTTGATCGAAGAGGCGAAATTCGCAGGGAGGTAGCGAAACGAAAAAGGAGGTTGGTAAAGCGCGAAAGGCACGGACATCACCCGCAGAAGATGGCCGATTGTTTGGTGTCGGAGTGGTAACAGGCAGCGTGAGAGCTGGCAAACATATATAGTTAATGTTCGAATAACCTGTACAGATTCGTATCTTCGGGGATACAACACTTAGGGTAATACCCTTGTACTGTTTCTCTCGATATTAAAAACGCTACGTTAAGATGATATCACGCTTGGTAGGTACGTCCCGCCGCCCACGCTTCCGCTCTAGGCCCTCGTCGCGCCGCCCCTAGCTAGTCGTGCCCGTTCCTAGCCGGCCCCCTACGCCGTCGCGCTCGATCCTAGCCGGCCCCCCTGAGCCGTCGCGCCCGCCCTAGCCGCCCCACTGAGCCGTCGCGCCCGTCCTAGCCGGCCCCCTGAGCCGTCACGCCCGTTCTAGCCGTCGCGCCCGTTCCTAGCCGGCCCCCAGAGCTGTCGCGCCCGTTCCTAGCCGCCCCCCTGAGCCGTCGCGCCCGTCCTAGCCGGCCCCCTGAGCCGCCGCTCCCGTCCTAGCCGGCCCCGTGAGCCGTCGCGCCCGTTCCTAGCCGGCCCCCTGAGCCGTCATGCCCGTTCCTAGCCGGCCCCCTGAGCCGTCGCGCCCGTCCTAGCCGGCCTCCTGAGCCGTCGCGCCCGTTCCTAGCCGGCCCCCTGAGCTGTCGCGCCCGTCCTAGCCGCCCCCCTGAGCTGTCGCGCCCGTTCCTAGCTGGCCCCCTGAGCCGTCGCGCTCGTTCCTAGCCGGCCTCCTGAGCCGTCGCGCCTGTCCTAGCCGGCCCCCTGAGCCGTCGCGCCCGTTCCTAGCCGCCCCCCCCCCCTTGAGCCGTCGTGCCTGTCCTAGCCAGCCCCCTGAGCCGTCGCGTCTGTTCCTAGCCGGCCCCCTGCGCCGCCGCGACCGTCCTAGCCGGTCCTCACGCCCGTCCTAACTGGCCCCCGCGCCCGTACTAGCTTGCTCTCGCGCCCTGCCTAGCCGGCCCTCGCGCCCGTCCTGTTAGCCCTTACGCCCGTCCGAGCCGGCTCTCGTGCCTCGTTCATGTCGGCCCCTAGCGCCCGTACCTGAGGCCTGCACGCTCGTCTCAGCTCGCCTCAGCTGGCCCACACGCTCGTCCTCGCCGGTCACACGCGCTCGTCCTAGCCGGCTCCTCCCCTCCTACCGCCCGTCCTAGCCGGCTCCTCGTCCCCCATCGCGCTTGTTCCTAGCCGGCCCCTTGCCCGTTACTCACTGGCCCCCGTGCCTGTACCTGCTCGGCCCAGTACCGCTCTGCACAGCTCTGCCCAGCTCAGCACCGCTCTGCACCGCACAGCACCGCTCTGCACCACTCTGCATCACACAGCACCGCTCTGCACCGCGCCGCTGCTGCATCGCTCCTGATGGCGGACTCCGTGCTCCGCTTCGACGCAGAGGGACAGCCGATCGAGTTTGACACGTGGCCTGTCCACCTCCGGCGTCACCTCACTGGTCAGCGGCATGACGGCCACTCCCTGGCGGTCCATCTCCCCTGCCCTGACCCCCCTCCTCACCTGCCCGCTGACCCCTCGTCCGCTGACCGTGAGTTCGCCGCAGCTGCTGCCCTTGCCCGCTCAGTCTGGCTGTCGCGTGACGCAGTCGCGCAGCTTGCGATCAGTCATGCCCTCCCCCTGTCTGAGCGCCCACGCTTTAGGTTAGTCACGACTGCGCAGGAATTTGTAGATGCCGTCGTCAAGCGCTATTCCACACCGCCCGCTGCCTCTGTAGGTCGCCTGATCCTGCCGATGCTCTTCCCTACTGTCGCTGACCTCACCGCCCACCTGCGCACGATAGACGCGACCTGGCGTGCTGCCTGCACTGAGACCCAGCTTAGAGCCTTTCAGCCGCCCCTCTGTTCTGCCCTCTACCTGCTCGCCATCCGCCTCCCTGATCGTCTCGCTACTGCCCGCGACCACTTCCTTAGCATCCACCCTGGTGACCTCACCCTCACTGACTTTGTCGACACCCTGACTGCTATAGAGACCCGCCAGCGCTCTATCGCCCAGACCAGCGGTACTGTGCCGGTCCCTACCTTTTAGGGTTGTGCCCCTGCCCAGTGCACCTTCTCCGACGGTTTTGCTGCTGTGGCTGAGTCCGCAGCTGCAGCGCAGATCCGTTCCGGGAAGGGCCCCCGCCCCAAGGCTGGCCGCGGCGGTGGGGGTGGCGGTGCAGGTGGAGGTGGTGGTGGGGTCGGGTCGTCTAGTGGTAGTGCTGATGAGGGAACCCTGACAGGTGCAGCCGAGTAGCCGTCTCAGCAGTCGCAGGTGTTGCAGCCGGACACGCACCAGCCGTAGCAGCAGCCCTCGCACCAGCCGCAGCAGTCGCAGCAGCAGAGGCGGACTGGTGGTATCCCGCCCGAATGGCCAGGCGCTGGTGGTGGCGGTGGACGTGGTGGTCGTGCGCGTGGTGGGCTGCCAGGTGGCGGTTCGGGTGACGCGCGCTGTCAGTACCAGCTCGAAAGCGGTCCTCACTGTGGTTTTGTTTACGGTAAGATCGGTCACACCTACGTCCGCTGTTTTCGTCGCCTGGACGACCTGTTTCGTCAGTGCTTCGGCCCGTCGCCCGACCTCCCCGACTGTCATAGCTTACTTCGCCGTAGCGTTCAGATCTTTGATATGGACATGGATGAGCTTGTTGCTGCCCTGCATATGATGTATGCTTCTTATCACCCCTTGTCGCCTAGTGTAGGCATGTCTAGTCGTGCCTCCCCTGCTGCGTCACGCGTAGGATCACCTGCTTTGTTTAGCCTAGACGCCACTGCTGCGCTCTCTTTCACCCTCAACTCTGGCGCTTCTCGGTGTTTCTTCCGTGACTCCACTACGTTGACGCCTCTTGCTTCTCCTGCTGCAGTTTCTCTTGCCGACCCCTCCTCCAGCCCCGTAGTTGCTCGCACTTCCACCACCCTTCCCTGTCCGGCGGTTCCTTCGGGCTCTATTACAGGCCTGCACATCCCCTCGTTCTCTAGGAACGTAGTTGGTGTCGGCTGCTTCCAGGACCTTGGCGTCACCACTACCTTCCCTGGTCACGAGCGGTACGCTATCTATACCGAGACCGCCACTGGTGCCCACCTCACCACGTTCCCCCGAGACCCGGTGTCCGGCCTGTTCACACTGGACACTGCGACCCCCTCTGGTAGGGACGTCTTCTCAGGTGGCTGCGTCTCCCAAGGTTGCTACGACCTGCTCCTGTCGGTCGCTCACTCACCCGACACTCCTGTGGCATCACCGTCTAGGTCACCCCGCCCTCCCGCATCTGCGTCACATGTCACAGCACAGTCTGGTCCTAGGTCTCCCAGCGTCGTTCCCGGAGTTTCCCTCCTCCCCAGCACCACCGTGCACGCCCTGTGTCGAGGGCCGGCTCCGCCATGCCCCTCACTCCTCCTCGTTCCCCCCCACCGCCGCACCGCTACAGACTCTGCACATGGATGTCTAGGGCCCCGCCCCCGTCTATGGGCCGCGTCGAGAGCGCTACTTCCTAGTGCTTGTCGACGACTACACGCGCTACACCACGGTGCTCCCCCTGGAGCAGAAGGCCGACATGCCTGATGTTCTTATCCCGTGGCTTGTCTCTGCGCGTGTCCGCCGCGGTCTCCCTGTCTTGCGTCTCCACTCCGACCGTGGTGGCGAGTTTGCCTCTGGTGTCCTAGGTCGTTTCTGTCGTGCGGAGGGCATCACCCAGACGTTCACCTTGCCCGACTCTCCGCAGCATAATGGGGTCACTGAGCGACGCATCGGCTTGGTCATGGAGGTGGCCCGTACCTCCATGATCCATGCCGGTGCACCCCATTTTCTGTGCCGTTCACTATTCGCTATGCCGCTCACTAGCTTAACCTGTGGCCGCACCCCCAGCAGCCGCATGTTTCGCCGACTCTTCTTTGGTCCGGGTCTCCTGGTGACGCATCTGCGTTTCACATATGGGGCTGCCTTGCTCACGTTCATGCCTCAGGCACGGACAAGCTCACTGCCCGCACCCTCCCTTGTGTCTTCCTCAGTTCCCCCCTTGACGCGTCCGACTGGCACTTCTACCACCCGCCGTCTCACCGGTTTTTTCACTCTCGTGACGTCACCTTTGACGAGTCCGTCTCCTTCTACTGCCGCTTCCCCCACAGAGGTCCCCATGTTACTCCCCCCCCTGTTCCTGGTCACCCCTTCCCCGATCACCCCTGTCCCCCCCCCTCCCCCTCCCCATCCTGCACCGTCTGGTGTGTCTCACGTCACTCCCCTCCCGTCAGTTGTCCCGGTCGAGGAGTCTGCTGACTCTGGTGACCCTGCGGCGCATTCCTCATTGCCTGCCCCTTCCCAGGTGTCTCCACCTCCGCCGTCTTTGCAGCCGCCGTGCTCGCCGCTGTCGCAGCCGCCGTCACCGCCGCCGTCGCAGCCATCGCCGCAGCTATCGCAGCAGCAATTTGTTGACTTTGGGGGTACTGGCGTTGGGGTGGGTACTAGTCTTGGGGTTACTGTCGTGGCTTGTCCCGGTGGGACTGGGGGTGGTACCGGTGTTCGCGGGGTTTCGGGCTCTGGGGGTGTTCCTTCTGGGGGTGCTGGAGTGGAGTGTTCCGGAGGTAGCCATGGAGCAGCTAGCAATCCAGGTGTCGGTGTCGTACCGCCGCAACAGCGGTCACCGCCGGTGGTCCGCTGACCACATGTCTGTGCCTCCTATACCGTCTCCTCCCCTTCCTGACTACGGCCCTTTGTTCCCTCCCCCGGACTCGTCTCCGGCTCATCTTCCTCCTCGTTCCTCTCCTATATCCTCGCCTCTGTCTCCTAACCCGACGCCTCTGTCTCACGTCTGGTCTCGTCGTCCCTCTCGTGCTCGCCTCGTCTCCCCTGTCCCGCGCTCTCATCCTATGTTGCTTCGTTCTCACGCGTCTCGTTCTCCACTCCTACCGTCGCCGCCTCCGTCCTCCCTTGTTGTTGTGCCTC